CCTAAAAAAAAAAAAAAAAAAGAGAAAGAAAAAGGAAGATAAGCATTTTGTCTACTGGAAAACAATGGTTTTCAGACCAGATTAAAAGAACCAAATTAATTTAACACTTGTACTTATACTGAATATTAATTTACTGTGCCAGTAACTATTAAAATCAGTGGAATTGTTTTGGTGGAAAGCGCTGCTGAACATGAGTTCAAAATCAGCAAAATCAGGCTTCATGATTTCAGGTGGACCTGAAACAAAATATTTCAGTATGTTTCAGGGCACATAAATGTTTCGGTTGACCTGAAATGCAGCATTTCATTTAGTTTTCCATTTATTTGAACTCCAAAAATAGGTGAAGTTTAAAATAAGCCATAACATTTCAATTAGAAGGGACAAATTTTTCCAAATTCCACCCCCCCCAGCTTTTTTATTTCAGCTGAAGTTATTTGCTAAAGGTGCCCAGATTTGCAAATAATTTTGATCTCCTGAAACTGCACATTTTTAGTGAATTTACTCTTCAGCCAAAAAAAGTGCCCTGTTCTCATGCTAATGCTCAGGTGACTGAACATTAGCTCTGCTAAAATGCTAGTTTATCAATTTGTATGGCAAACCTCATTCAGCAAGTTACGCTTGCACTGTCTGAGCCAGTAATACAGGAGGGAATAGACTGCTCACTGATTTGGGCAGCTTGTCTCACTGAAGACGTCAAGGCAGAGCAAAATGGCACGTATAGTTTACAGCCTACTTTGTGAACCAGATGTGAACCAGTTAGTCTCTAAGGGTGTTTATACATGTGCTTGGCAGCAGGGAGGGATGGGGGGTTAATTAGAGCGGCTCTGAGAACTGCTCTAATTAAAGCTTCTGGAGCATCACATGTATCAGTGTCCCTGCACTGAAAAATGGCAGCAGGGGCGCTTTAACTAAAGCTTGTCAAATGAACCTTAAACTGTCCAGCCACCATTTTTCAGCATGGGGATGCCGATACACGTGACGCTGGAGTCTGCTGGAGCACGGCAATTGCCACACTCCAGCAGATTCGATTAATCAAGTCTGCTTCAATGCACTGTAATTGTGTACTGGAGCAGCCTCACTGAACGTGTACAGGCGCCTCGTGGTGCCACCCTGTCCTGCCTTCTGCTTGACTTCAGACTAAAACAGTTTCCTACTTCTTTGAAGACATCAAGGGACTATCTCTGTGGCAGTGGAAGGACATCAGTTGCCAAAAAAATACTGATACTGTATGTCTGGGCATTAACTTCAAGTTCCTGTGCCTTGTTACTGATGCTGCACGGGATCAGCCCCAACAGTCCCAACATACAATCACTAGGTTTATTTCATCAGGGAGTTCCAGAAAGTGGTAGCGTAATTGGAAATTTGTAATCAATTAGTGGCAAAATATCAATCAAGTAATAACTGAAAAGTGAAGTGTGACAAATCAAGATAAACAAAACAAACAAACAAAAAAAGCTTGCCTTTATGAACAGTGATTGTACATTTTTTTTTCCTGGGTGCCAATTTGTAGAGAAAAAGTAAACTTTGAAACAGGGAGAAAAGGAAAAAAAAAAAAGACTTCCTCAATCACAGTCTGAAACTTTTATATTATATAAAATTGTTTATTGCCTTCCTTATGCTCCGGAAAGAAAAAATACTTTACGTAACTTTTGGAATATAATTAAATTACATAATTTTATTGTTAAGAATATACTTCACAGCCCAGTACAGGTTAACTTAGCTTTTTAAGCATTATGAATCTTGGGGGAGTAAATCTGAAAAAGGAAGCAATAAATAAAAATGGAAAAAACGTGTAGGTTTTAGGGTCAGGCTAGCCTAGGAAAGATGTTCAAAACACCAGTGTTTTGAACGGACTAGAAACAAGGAAGGTGTCAAGAAGGTAGAAATGATGTCCTGTAGTCAATAACTGCTGTCATGTTTGGATTCACAACACTTTTTATGAAAATAAAGGATGACGGTACTCTACATCAGCGGTCCGAAACGTTGCAGGTTACAGTCATTCTAACTGCAGAAATAAGGGCCATGGTGGGGGGAAGCTGATTTCACTGACATTTTAATAAATCAGGAAGTCATCTCTATTCAGTTATCAGGTTTTATATACCAGTGTAATATATTCCCCTTAACACGAAACAGTGCCTGTGGATTGTGAGTAGATTGAACTGCTGGTTAATGTTCCTTTTTGGCAAATGAAGTGTTATTCTGGCAGTCACCTTGAAATCCTGCAGTTTTAACACAGGTGGGAGAATTCCTTGCTTTCAGTTAATTGGGCCAGGTGTTGTACTCTCCTACTGGAATCAAGCGGTTGCTTTCTAATGAGGGCCACAGTGTGTGATTTTACTTGTGTGTTCACTTGCAAATTTAACTCCAAAAATAAATTAAGGGGGTTTGGTTCTGGTACTGTTAAAGATTATTTAAAAAAAAACACAACATGGCTTTGATCCAGGGCCAGGTATTCAATACAGCTTTCAAACAGTTACACTGGTACATATTTCCTTTTACCATGATAGTTTATTTTGTTTGGGGGACTGATAAAATCTCACTTAACTTGTTCTTTTATTATTATCATTTGGATAAGGAAATACATCAGGCTCTTTACAGAGATCAGGGTCCAATTAGCCTGAAGTGGTGGTGCTTTTTCCAGCTCACTTGGGGGTGTTTCCTACTATATACATTTGCTTTTATTCTTAGATAAGAGCCCAAATCAAAATTGCTATTTTAATTCCATGTCTGGATCCATTTCTGAATTTTCTGTCTCTACAGTGGGCAAAAGCAGAACCATGGATCTAAGCCATACTGTGCCAGGGCCTTCAAATATAAAACTTATCAAAGCTCAGGAAGTTTGGACTCAGTCCATTTCAGAGACAAGTTTCAGATGAAAACTTGGATCCAAGTCTGTGGTTCAGATCTGGGGTGTTGGGTCAGCCCTGTCCATTTATTTTCTACTGTAAATGGCCCCCTAACTAGATACTCACACTGAGCCTAAGTGTTTCCTCCCTTAGCTTTAGCCCATACCTGCCTGTCTGCCATCTTCTGAAGCTGACAACATCCTTTATTTATTCTAAAGCATCAGTGACATTGAAACTATTTATAGGCTCTGATCATGTACCTCCCGAGATTTTCACTTGATAATTTTAGCCATGCTAGTTTCTCATCGTCATAGGTCTTAGTGTCCAATCCTCATAGCCCTTTTACTGCTTTTCCTTGTAGTGTTTCATGCTTAGGGCAAGTGCGTTTGTAACAATAGCTACTGACTCACTTTCTATGCTTGTCCAATAGCGACTATTCATCAGATGAATCCCGGTGCCTTAGATAGTGGGAAAGCCTGGCCACCAGTCCACTTCCAAAGTGCAGCCTGATTTGCATGTGGCTCATGAAGGTTGGGCGGGGGGTCAGTCACGAGGATGCGGACTAGCCACATCAGGAAACACCTGATGATGTGAGCAGTGCAGGTACAGTTTCTAGTGGTGCTGTAGATAGAAACAGGGGGAGGAAGGGGTTTGGTGGGGAGGAGAATGGGGAGTGCTTAGATCTCAGCCGCTGTAAGATGTTGCTTCCTGGTATGTTAATGAGGAGCATTTGCCAAACAATCCTTTGATTGACTCTTAACAAGGCTGGTGATTGTGTCAACAAAAACTCCTGTCTCGAGTCGGAAAGTCCGCTGTCAACACTTTATCCTCTTGTTGAACATTTAACTTTCAATGAAGTGGTCTCTTGAGACATGTACAGCTCCATTCATTTTGTTTTGCTTTCAGTGCATAAAGCTGACAGAAGCAAGATGAAGAGAGGCCCAGCACTCGTTTTTATGCTGTTTCTTGTCACCAAGGTAGGAATCCACTTTAACCCAACAAATAAACAAATCAACTAAAAACCTCCCCAAACTAAACTATACTGAGCTTTGAAGCTGCAGTCTGATCCCTTCTGGATGCTTTCTCACCAGAAAGCACTTGATAACTCTACTTGGCATGCCTAAAGTCCAAATGAGGCCAAGGAGGGCTGAAATCCTGGCACCATTGAAGTCATTGGGAATTTTGCCATGGATATCAGTTGGGCCAGGATTTCTCTGAAGGAATTCATGGGCTGACCTTCAGGTCTGTATGACTTGCCTCATGAAGTGTGTTTTACTTGCTCTGTTTAGTCTGCAGGAGAAGATTCAAAACAGTTGTTTATCTGGTGCTAAATTCAGGCACAGATCCTTTTCTTAGTGTGAAAACCTTGGTGTCGTGGGAGGGAGGCAGCACGGTGGCCAGGAGGGTGTATTGTGGCCTTAGTTGTGTAGAGGATGTGAGAATTATTCCTTTCTGTTATTGTTTTGTGCCACTTGTGCTCGCGGCTCTGTGTTACATGTCGGTGACTTCCTCCTCCTTCACTGACCAACACTGTCCTCTTTTGCATTACTTCAAACCCCTAATCACATGAGGGTGGGTTCCCCTGCGGAGAGGAATTTGCCTTTCTTCACCACTGTCACAAACTTTGCTGTCGGGGTGTTCCCAAAACCACAAGTTCCTCCCTGCTGTTTTGCTGCTCATCTCAAGGAACAGACTAAGATTTGCCTCTGGGACAGCTCCTTGCCCTCACAAGTTGTAGTTTCACTTGTCTTCACACCAGACTTTGCAGGTACAGCAGTCAAAACTGCCAGTTCCAGGGATCTTACCCTTGGATTCTATAAAATTATATGTTCACCCCCTTCCTCCCCACTCCCTGAAGACGAGGCAAGCCCCAAATTTTCAGTTGCTCTGAAATCATATTTTACTGCAGGCAAATCGGGAAAGTAACAAAGTAGCAGAAGGATTTATTGCATTAGGAGAATACATGGCACAAGGAAGAGTAACTATAGAGTTTGAAGGCAGGATACAGAGGTAAAACTGATACGATTCTCACCCTCTGTTCTGACTACAACACAACCCAGGATAACCAAAAATCTGGTCTGGACCAGATGGATGTGTTGAGCTCCCATATTGTCTGTGTATTTGACCAGGTTGTCTAATGGGAGGTTGGAAAATAAAGCTGACTTCCATGTGTTCTCCTGTAAATGTCACCAAATGACAGAAGGAATAGACGGTTCTGCAGCGTGACCTACTACTTCTCCTTTCCCTGACTAGCCAAATGCACCTTACCCAGCCCTTTGAGATAAGCTTTTGTGGTTGTGTTCTTGCCAAAGTGACATTTTCCTTCTGGATAAAAGTACTTACTGATGTCACTGGAAAGTTTTAAATGTGCAGGAAATTCAGGCTGTGCTTGCTTCTGAAGGGAGCACCTTTTGCCCTGGAAAAACAGACAATGACTTTAGGAGCCTTCTGGGGCTCGTAGTAGCCTATGCTGTGTCTCTTGTTTCTCCCCCAGACCCCAGATGCCTCTCCAAACCCACTGGAATGCAAGGAGAGTCAGTACTTTGATGAGCACGGGAAGTGTGTCCCATGTAAGGAGTGTGGCCCTGGCTGGGAGCTCTCCAAGGTAAGTGGGCCACTCTGGAGGGAACCTTGATGATAGGTCTGGTGGTGTTAGGTGATCTGAAGAATGATCTGAAATAGGTTTGTTCCTATCAAAAGAGCACAGTAGACTCTTCCACTCGTTATGGTGCATGGTGGTGAGGTGGGAAAAGGAAGGAGAAAAGGAAATACCAATAAGTGGGGAGGCATTTTAGACTGATACATATTTTATAATGCCCAAAAGGATCCATTATCCCTAGCTCCCAGTGGGAGTCAACATTCCCACTGACCACAACTCCAGAGTCCTAGCTGGTGATACATATAATGTCCCTAAAAGCTAAAGGATGCCATTCCATTAGTCAAGGCAATAGTGATGCAGTTGCCTGTGTGTGTGATCCAGCCAGCACAAGTGTGTCATACTGGGGGGTGGTGAGTAACTCTCTTCTGAGTGCATATCCAATTCTCTTGGTGGCTTGGCCAGCTCTGGCAGTAGAAATTCATGCATTTAGAATCACAGACCCCAGGTTTGGTCCCTGCACCAACCTACTTATGGGTGCAGCATTTCACTAGCATTTCCCCCAAGTCTTAGTCCCTGAGGCAACACATAAAGCTATTGCTGAGCACTGATGTGCTGCTCCAATTGCTTGTGCTGCTGTTGACTGCTTCACTGCAGTGCAGAGATTTAGAGTATGCAGGGAAACTGAGAAGTCTTTCCTTCTGAGAAGAATCCATCTGCCTTTAGAAACTGAGATAGCTGTATGGCAATGTGGGATTTGAAGCAATTTCTTCATTCTAGTCGTGGACCTGCCCTGGTCTCTTGCAGGAATGTGGCTATGGTGAAGGAAGAGATGCACACTGCACTGCTTGTCCTCCCAGGAAGTTCAAGGAGACCTGGGGGTATCATGGCTGCAAAACATGTCTCTCCTGCATCCTCATCAACCGTGTTCAGAAATCCAACTGCACTGCCACTTCCAATGCAGCCTGTGGAGAATGTCTGCCAGGGTGAGTACAGCTGGCTCTGTGTCAACCAGAGCCCCAGCAGGGTGCAGGCAGATGTTGAATAAGAGAGGATTTACCATTGCCACGTGTATCACACTACCTGTGATGAGTTAACATTAGTAGCCCCTCTGGCCAGAAAATATTGATCAAGATGGATACATAGACCTGACCTATCCTATAGCTCTAAAAGAAGAAAACCCAATAGTTTCTTTTACTAAGCACTGGGAAAAATTCACTGCCAGCATGAAATACCATTCTGGACACCAGCGTGGCTGCTAGTCTGGCCTCAGATAAACAAGAGTGCCTATGTCACAAAAATGATCATCATACTCAACTTACTCTGCTTTCCGACTGCTGGGTTCTTCCATTTCAGCATGAAAGGAGCTTGGACCATCAGTGGGCACAGGGAGCTGTGATGACTGGGGCTGTACATTTGTATTAATATATTTTAAAGAGTTCCTGAAATTAATGCTGCTAAATATAGTCAGTGAGCATGTCTACGTGATGCTTTCCTCAAGATTAGAGCTAATTACTATGCAGTAAGTGTCACCATCTACACATGCTGACACTTACTGTGCAGTAATTCTGAGTAAATTTGCTATCTGTAAATACAAGTAGCAGATTTACTTGGGAGTAATTACTGTGTAGTACAGCAAATGTAGATGACCAACCAGGAGCAAACGTGCTCCTGGGCAGCAGGGTACAGGAGATTGCTCTCTGCCCCTGGGAGCTGCTTGCTGCTGCGGCAGACACTGTCACTGGAGCTTGGATGGGGATGATGTCCCCCTGTCCTGTTAGCAGGGAGCCCAGCCTCCACTCTGTGATCGCAAAGCGAGGGCTGGAAGATTCTTATTTCCCAGCCTTGGCTGAGCAATGTCCCAGCACCTGCCAGGAGACAGCTGTCTGCTGCAGGGGGCTGGTGCAGGGCCCATGGGGGTGGGAGCAGACTGCTGCCATGAGCAGCAAATCTGCTCCCACTTCCCCATATGTGTAGATGCCTGCCCAGGGTGGGTTTACTCTAAAGTAATTTAGTCTAGAGTGGCGGGCTGTTTACTCTAGAGTAAACCCATCCCCTATCATTTGCAGGTTTAAATGCACCCAGTCTATGAGATTGCACAGTGCTGTGGAGTCCTTTCCTGTAGACAATCCCTGAGTGACGGTGTTGTAAAGTGTGGGGGAAAGAGTGACAAAAGCTCGGGGTCAAGGCCTCAGAGCCACTTTCCAGCATGGCTTCCCAACTAGAAGAAAATATGCTTTGTTTCACTAAAGAAGATGCTATTTAAATAGCGACTGCCAGAGCTCCTGTCTTAGCCTCGCTCTGACAGGTGTTGCTCTCCAAGGCAGGGACATGTACAGTATTGCTTCCTGGCAAGATGGCTGCTGCTACAAGAGAGCGCCTCTGAATGCTGCTTTAATTCAAGTTGTGCAAAGTGCTGCATACTTTATGACTTCTCTGAGTGCCAAGTTACTATGGGAAATGAGGTCAACTTTCTTTAGACTCTGTAGAAGCTAGGGAGTTTTTACAGCAGTCTTGCGTTGGGCAGTAAGCAAGCCAGCTTGGCTGAGTAGTAGAGTCTGGGTGTTATTTGCCTATAGATGCCTTAGCCCCATTTGCCCTATTAAAGCTTTCACTGCTTTTTCTTTGGCAGGTTCTACAGTAAAGTCCGGATTGGTGGGCCACAAGATATGGAGTGCATCCCCTGCACAAAGCAGACCCCCTCCTCTGAGCCTCAATGTATGTACCCCACAGGGCTCTGACCTGCTGCCTTTTGTTTCGTTGTTTGACACATCATGCCACAGGGCATGTAGTGAGTCCTTCAGGAATGGTGGGAGGTGGGAGGAGAGATGTACTGGAGTAGGCCAATGGTACATGTGATTTGGTATTCTCTCTCTGGCAGTGGTCACTGTTGCATGCTTCGTAAGAGGCATAAAACCTTGGAGTATACCTATGTGCGTGAAGAGAAAAATACTGTCTCCAGTTGATGATCATCTTTTGCTCTGAAGCATGAAGGCTGAGAATCCTTATTCCTGCCATGAGTCTACTTGCAGAGGCTGCTCTTGTTCATTTAAATCTCTAATCCCTGTTTTGAACCATATTAAGCCCCAAGCAAGGAAGCACAGACAGTATATATAGGTGGAGGAGGCAGAGGTGCCATGGTGACAGGACTATTCAAATGTTGGCATCCTTGAGACTAGAAATAGCAGCTTGGACATTTTGTAAACCATAATCTTTTGTTGTTGATGGTGTTCAAAGAAAAAAAAACCCAGCCCCTATGCTTGGCGGTATTCAGTCACCACTGGGAGAGAATGTTAGATTCTGTTTCTCAGGTCTTCTGGGTCCTGGTAATGATTTTGCCACTTCATTGCAATGACCTTGGACAATTTCATCAGAATCCCTGTGTCTCAGTTACTCTATATGTAAAATCAGTGCTGAAATACTGACTCCAAACACTGCATTAATGTTTGAGAGATCCTTTGAGATCCTGAGAAAGGGAGTGCCGTTGGATGTTGGTTATTATTGCCAAACATTTTTAAAAGGCTTTGTGTAACTTGGGATTTCAAGGCCATCCATTTTCTGCGATTTTCAGTGGGAATCAGTTCTCAGAGCCAGTTAGGTGTTTTTGAGAATTTTACTCATCTGTAATTTTAGCTGTCAGATTGAGGCCTCTTGTCCTAAGGGCTGTCTCTGTGTACGTGTTTACAAACTTGTGTTTGCCTACATACTACTTGCTCCAGGCTGGATCCATGCTGCTTTGTCTACTGCACTGTGTGGGGATTGAAACTCTGATGTCTTTGGCTGGTACATTTGCAGGCAGCTCCAGAACAAACCTGAAGGCAGCAGGATCTGAAGTGCATCCCCTGCACAAAGCAGACTCCCTCCTCCAAGCCTCAACTCCAGACAAATCTACAGCACCTCCTCAGGACACAGCCCTCCTGGCACTAACTAGCAGTGCCCTGGTCATCATTGCGTTGGTGCTACTGGTACTCTCCATCATCTACTGCAGACGTTTCTGGAAGTGCCAGGGCCAGCGAGGTGAGTTACAGCAACTCAGCACTCCTCAGTTTCTCCTTCCTTGATGCCTTTTTGAGCCTCTCTCTATCATGTAGGATAATGCCTCTAATTTTCTCTACATCATGAAGTGACACAAATAGTCCTCTGCTTACAGGGAGTGCTCTGTAATGCTCTCCATCTGTAGGGTGTCTCTTTTGAAGCCTTCTTTCAAAGACATTGAAGAGTCTCTTTTTTCCATAGTACAATAATACCAGGAAGGGGTAGGAAGATGTTTGGGTTCAAATTCAACCATGACACCAAGGCTAAGTACAGACAGTCAAAATACCCAAGGCTGAACTGATTCAGTCTTTGCAGGTTAGTCTAAGATGCAGAGATTAAACTGAGAAACAACTGGACATGCATTTATTTTTGCTTCAGGAAGTGCAGCCACATGCCAGCAGTGGCTCAGGCCAGAAGCCAGGGGGTGCTAGACCACAGCTCTCTGGCATGTAGCCAGCATAAGCTGTGTGGTTGCTTCCTCTTCCTGTTGCTCCCAAGGTCTCTGGGATTTGAAGTCCAGACTCACAGCAGCAGGACTCTCCAGGGTTGCTCATCAATTCCTCTTCCTGCTTCCAGGGGCCTGTGGGATTTGTAGTCCACAGTCACAGCCAGCAGTAAGTTTCAATAAGTTT